TGTCGTACTGGTTTTAGTAATTCCGCTAGCCATTTAGCTAAACCATGTTGAGCTGAGTTTATCATTGACAGGATGGGCCTAAGGGGCATTCCAGGTTTGTGTACTTTTGGAAGACCATACAACTGCGGTATTAGTGAGCCACACGGTGTGAGCATCTTAGCGGTAGCTTCGCTGATGAATTTTCCTGCCAAGAGTGATTTGATTACTTTCTTCATTTTCGCTTCCATGTTATTAACGTAATTTACTTTGGAATCCAGCAGAAATTTTGATTGATCAGATAATATTTCTTCCATTTTGGTTTGATAGTTTGACTTGTCCATCAGAACTACACCATTTCCTTTGTCTGGTTTCAGTATTATTAATTGTTCGTTGGCTTTTAATGTTTTCAGAGCAATAATATGCTCTTTAGATAATGGACACTTTTGCTTAGACTGGGATGTGCGGTACTGATGTTCCAAATCCACCAATCTAGCTTTTAACCAACCAACCGAATCGGTAGACGACGGGGTCAATGTCGACAGCTGATCAAAGAACATTTCAAATTGAGCTTGTGACTCGATGGGGTTGATTTGTTTAGGTTTTACGCAGAACTTTAATCCGTAAGCAAGAGCTTCAGTTTGTAGTTTACTGAGTGTAAACGAAGACAGATTAATCACATGTTTCTCAGCATTGTCAAGCACAGAAGTGGTAATCTTTTCCGAACTCAATGACTTCTTTAAACGTGTAGTTTCTTGAATTTTCACTTTACCCAATGTTTCAATACAAAACTTTGTGAACTTTAAATAACAATACAAAGTCAGATCGTTAGTAATACTGTAGGCCGAACTGTGAATTCGCCTTAGATTGATCAATTTCGATTGGATTTCTTCTATGTAATTTTTCGTCATTCGCCTCAAATTTCGTACCGTTGGGCAGATTTTCTCAGCTCTCAGCGATCTAAGATAACGGTGAGGAAATATTCCAGATGTAAGGCATTCTCCAAGAAACCGTAACCGACAATCCTGTCATGCAACGTATATATGACCGACTCAAAACAGCAGTCCGTCAAACCTTTTACGCAGCCATGCCTGTTATGAGATTTAAAACCACCAGGATTCCTACACCACCAGTAAAAGAACCAGTGTCGACGTACGCCAGATCTAACTGTATATACCAATTTAAATGCACCTGTAACGCTGCATATGTGGGCAGAACTGATCGACGACTGGAACAACGGGTTGCTGAACATATTCCACTATGGTTGGTAAAAGCAATGCAGAACACTAACACCTCAACAACAACGAATCAGGTAACTTGTCGAAATAATCCATCATCAGCAATTGCGTGCCATATTCTAAATTCCGGGCACATCATTAACAGGGATGATGCATTCCGAATTATTTACAGTTCGGCTAACCGTAGATTACTTCGATACGCGGAAGCTTCAGCGATTGGCAGATTGAAACCGGAACTTTGTAGGCAAAAGGAAATGGTCGTTGCCCTACGTTTACCTTGGTGAAACAGTTTGAAATCTACTCGAATTTGTGTTTCAGTTTCTAGGATTCAGCTATTTGCTTCATTTTAATTAATTGTTACTGAAGTATGCACCTGATGAGATACAGCGAAATATGCCAGGCAATAAATTGTGCAGTCTATTGTTTGTGTCTTCTTTGTTCAAATTTACAACGGGGAAACATTGCTTTGATTATTTGAAACGTCGCCTCCCACAATCAACTGTGAAGCGACTGGATGGATTATTTAAACTGAAATGCAAAATCGCAGTACAGGATTGTCGGTTACGGTTTCTTGGAGAATGCCTTACATCTGGAATATTTCCTCACCGTTATCTTAGATCGCTGAGAGCTGAGAAAATCTGCCCAACGGTACGAAATTTGAGGCGAATGACGAAAAATTACATAGAAGAAATCCAATCGAAATTGATCAATCTAAGGCGAATTCACAGTTCGGCCTACAGTATTACTAACGATCTGACTTTGTATTGTTATTTAAAGTTCACAAAGTTTTGTATTGAAACATTGGGTAAAGTGAAAATTCAAGAAACTACACGTTTAAAGAAGTCATTGAGTTCGGAAAAGATTACCACTTCTGTGCTTGACAATGCTGAGAAACATGTGATTAATCTGTCTTCGTTTACACTCAGTAAACTACAAACTGAAGCTCTTGCTTACGGATTAAAGTTCTGCGTAAAAACCTAAACAAATCAACCCCATCGAGTCACAAGCTCAATTTGAAATGTTCTTTGATCAGCTGTCGACATTGACCCCGTCGTCTACCGATTCGGTTGGTTGGTTAAAAGCTAGATTGGTGGATTTGGAACATCAGTACCGCACATCCCAGTCTAAGCAAAAGTGTCCATTATCTAAAGAGCATATTATTGCTCTGAAAACATTAAAAGCCAACGAACAATTAATAATACTGAAACCAGACAAAGGAAATGGTGTAGTTCTGATGGACAAGTCAAACTATCAAACCAAAATGGAAGAAATATTATCTGATCAATCAAAATTTCTGCTGGATTCCAAAGTAAATTACGTTAATAACATGGAAGCGAAAATGAAGAAAGTAATCAAATCACTCTTGGCAGGAAAATTCATCAGCGAAGCTACCGCTAAGATGCTCACACCGTGTGGCTCTCACTAATACCGCAGTTGTATGGTCTTCCAAAAGTACACAAACCTGGAATGCCCCTTAGGCCCATCCTGTCAATGATAAACTCAGCTCAACATGGTTTAGCTAAATGGCTAGCGGAATTACTAAAACCAGTACGACAATCATTTGAGCCCAAAATACTCAAAGATTCATTTGAACTGGCAGAAATACTGGACACAATGAATGTAAATCAAAAATACATGGCATCAATGGATGTAACATCACTATTTACAAACGTGCCCTTGGAAGAAACCGTGAAAATTATATGTGACCGTATAGAAAATAAACATCTGCAGGTAGGTTTACCTATTTCAAAACTTGAGGAACTTTTAATGTTGTGCACTTCGAACATCAATTTCAGTTTTCTAAAGCAGTCTTACCGCCAGATTGATGGTGTGGCCATGGGAAGCCCTCTAGGCCCTATTTTAGCGGACATCTTTATGGCACACTTGGAGGAACAGATGTCTTTGGATATTGATAGTTTAGTATTTTACCGACGTTACGTTGATGACATATTTATCATCGCCACTAACAAACAACAGGCAGAGTCGTTTCACACCAAAATGAATCAAATGCACAAAAACATCACTGTGTCCCTACAACATGAAAGAAGTAACACTTTGGCCTTTTTAGACATTTTAATCAGACGTAGAGATGATGGTACTATTGAAAGGTCAGTTTTTCGTAAAGACACTTGGACGGGCCAATACATCCATTTCAACAGTTTTGCACCTTTGCAATACAAACGTGGTCTAGTGAGGACATTATTCCACCGTGCTAGGAAGATTTGTTCCATCGACACGCTACAAGCTGAGTTTGATACGATTAAACAAACACTGCTTTCTAATGGATATCCAGGTGGCTTTATTAAGTGCCATTGCCAGCCGCCTAAACCAGTTACCTTAGAAATGTCGGTGCCAAAAAAACTAGCCTATATACATCTAACGTTTCGGGGAGACGACGTCATGCAACGTATATATGACCGACTCAAAACAGCAGTCCGTCAAACCTTTTACGCAGCCATGCCTGTTATGAGATTTAAAACCACCAGGATTCCTACACCACCAGTAAAAGAACCAGTGTCGACGTACGCCAGATCTAACTGTATATACCAATTTAAATGCACCTGTAACGCTGCATATGTGGGCAGAACTGATCGACGACTGGAACAACGGGTTGCTGAACATATTCCACTATGGTTGGTAAAAGCAATGCAGAACACTAACACCTCAACAACAACGAATCAGGTAACTTGTCGAAATAATCCATCATCAGCAATTGCGTGCCATATTCTAAATTCCGGGCACATCATTAACAGGGATGATGCATTCCGAATTATTTACAGTTCGGCTAACCGTAGATTACTTCGATACGCGGAAGCTTCAGCGATTGGCAGATTGAAACCGGAACTTTGTAGGCAAAAGGAAATGGTCGTTGCCCTACGTTTACCTTGGTGAAACAGTTTGAAATCTACTCGAATTTGTGTTTCAGTTTCTAGGATTCAGCTATTTGCTTCATTTTAATTAATTGTTACTGAAGTATGCACCTGATGAGATACAGCGAAATATGCCAGGCAATAAATTGTGCAGTCTATTGTTTGTGTCTTCTTTGTTCAAATTTACAACGGGGAAACATTGCTTTAATTTCTTTTTTACTTTTTATATATATTACAATCATGTACCAAGTTATATTCTAGCAGCTCTCTTACTGCCTGTTGTATGTTCCTTGTGTGTTTTATTTTCAACTTCTGCGTACAACTGGTTTCTGCCCATTGAGTTGTTTTTAAGATGGATCATATGCTCTGGGAAAAAAAAAAATAATATTGCAATAGTACCTAAGTGGTATTGTCAGCCGATGCTCGCCGAGAAATGTCTAGAGGAGGACATTAAAGCACTTATTAACTGAATGGTTTAATGGCCAGTGAGGATTATTTGCGGACTAACAACTAGCTAATGCATTATTAACAAGCTTTCCGCGGTCCCATAATATTGTACATATCTAAATCATCCAGTTACTGCTATCTGGTTCACGCATTTTTAGTTTTGACAAATTATTTCGTTAGATTTGATGATTAAGTGTTTCAACTACGTACAGTCCGCCAGAATTAGATCCAGGTCTTTCTGAGCCTAACAAGAGTTCTCTTCACTTGCAATTGATCTGTAAATATAGATTTAGAAAGATAAGTAGATCTTACAACAAGTACATATCACTTCATTTCCCATCTTTATGCTGTTGTTACAATAGTTAACCGGAAAGTAAAATAAATAACCAGTTAAAAAAGAAGCTAAAGCGCTAACATCTTGTTTCTTTACATGTTAGTTTAGCAAGCCTAACACGTAATACACATCACAATGTCAACAGACTTTACGGATGTATATCTTCCAATATTTGACGACCTCAGCAAAGAGACAATGACCACAATAGTTACAATCAACATTGTTGCTTTAGTTGGAGTCATTTCCATGTTTGGTATAGCGTGTAATGTAATCAATATTTTAGTGTTCTGTAAGCAAGGATTTTCAGAGACCACAAATATCAGCTATACCGCTCTTGCCATTTCTGATTTACTAACTCTGGTGACCACGATGTGTTTAAGTTTCCTTTGGAATCCGTTGTTCCTGAACTCTGGACTACCTCTTGTATTTAAAGATATACAGATGACATTTGCTGCTTTGTCTTACGCTTGTTTCACTAATATAACGGGGATGGTGACAGCTTTTGCTACGTTTGAACGATGTATGTGCGTTGTCTGGCCATTGAAGGTTAAAAGGATCTTGACATCAAAAGTCACAATCATCTGCATCGTTTCTATTTATTTGATGATCTGTCTTACCATGGCACCTATGTTTTCAACATTAACACTTGGCTGGAGATCTGAACCCTGGACAAACAAGACTTTACTCGGAGTAACTTTTGACGAAAATACTGAACTAATATCTACTACTTGCTACATCCTCTATTCAGCCCTTCAGTTAGTTGCATTTATTGCTGTTCTGGCTTTTACTGTAACTCTGATTGTCTGTCTAAGACAAATGACTGCCTGGAGAATACAGCAGCCTAAAACCCAGAATGGTGCCAAAAAAGTGACAAAACGACAAGATAAAGCCATAAAAATGGTAACTTTGATAGCAGCAACTTACGTAGCTACTTATTTACCAACAATAATTTGACTTACTGTAACAGTTCTATATCCGTGTTTTAGCCCTACAGGTAGATACAAGAGCATCTACTTTGCCGTCTGGTCATTATCTATACTCTTTAGCGTCGTGAATTCGTCAACCAACTTATTTGTCTACTACGTCATGAGTTCAAAGTTCAGACTGACATGTTACCAAATGTTTTCACGGTTACAGGATCATCAATTGCAATGATAATGAGACTGTAGCTTCTGGTAACCAATAGACTGTGGTACACTACACATCCTTTGTTGCTGCCTCAAATTTGTGTTTGAGTTCTTCTTTTCCAGTGATAATAGATTTTTTTGAAACTGTTCAGACAAGGGTAATCAGCATGACAGTTTGAGGCAATCACAGCTTTCTTAAAATGTGTCTTGTATAAACGCTCCTGTGCACAACATTTCTTTGTTTGATTTTCTCTGTCTATCCCTGTAAGCGCGCGCGGTTGTGTGTATGTGTGTGTGTGTGTGTGTGTGTGTTTGCGAGAGAGAGAGAGAGAGAGAGAGAGAGAGAGAGAGAGAGAGAGAGAGAGAGTAGAAAGTTTTAGGAATCCATGTGAGCATTATTGTGTGACAACTTTTTACGCCTTGGGCGCATCGGGCATATGGAAAGAGCACCCATATTTTTACAGACCATCAGCACTAGGTGGGTAATGTGATCAGCATTACGCCGGCCGCCTTTACATCCATCCTAGTGTTCATTTTAGGCTGAGTCAGACGCGCAACGCTAAGCCACGGACACAACCGTAACTTTTGCAGCATTACAACTAAACTTAGACGAAACTTAAGGGGGCCGGTTGGGGACGGGCTACTTGAACGCCCTTCCACCAGCCCAGCACTTGCCTAAATAATGTGTAAGGTGGTTAAGATAGGTAGGCAGTTGAACCCCACGAGGACATCAAACAACCGATAAACAACTGGTGATACAAAGTGCCACCATGCGGATGAGGATCACCAGTGGAGAGGTCTGAAAATCTCCTTTCAGCCGTTAGGATATATTTATACCCAGGCCTTTTTTATGGCTCAGCTTTATTCAGGGCCCCCGACAAAAGCCAGGGTGGGACTTCAGAATAAAAAAAAAATTGCATCCCACAAGGGGACGATGTTAATGCATTATTGTAAGGTGGTGAAAAGGTGACACTAACCAGCTAAAGCACTTCTCGTTAAAAAAAAAAATGTATGTATTCAATGCTTGTGTGTGTTTTACGTTTCAATCGTATGCACAAAGCTAGTTATTGCCCACTGGGTTGTTCCTGACAGGATCATATAATCTATATACAAAAATGAATATTGTATCAGTACCTAGCTGGTTTTGTCAGCTGCTACATGCCGAGAAATGTACAGAGAAAGGCATCGAAGCATTTATTAACTTCTTCTTTCTCTTCTTCTCGTTCACCAGCTGTAAACTCTTGTGGAAAGTTCTGGTTGTTCGCTCTTTTTTTTTTTTTTTTTACTGCAATCCTGTTCAGAAACCTGAGTGTTGCGTAGGCATCCGTTTTACAGATCTGACTCATTTGTATGCAGACTGTTGGTTCCTTGTCTCTCAGGCAGATGCACTCCGACTTTGTAGGAAGCTCCCAATTAGTCAACTCTTGCGACATGCTTGTTCCCCTATAAAAGGGCCCCGGAACACACACGGAAAGCTTATTGACAGAATAGTTTAATGTGTAGTGAGGTTATCTGCATACTAACTACCTGGCTAAGACACAACTAACGAGCTGTCGGCAGTCCCATAACATTGTGTGCCCGTGTATCAACGAGTTACTACTAGTTTGATCATGTCTTTCCAGTTCTGACAATCAGATTCGCTGGACTTGACATTTTCGTAAAAAAATACTTAACGAACGTTTAGGCTTCTTGAGCACTTTCTCGAACAAAAAAATTTGAAAAGTGACTTTGTCTTCCCCACTCCTCAGCACCTCCAACGTCTTCTTAGTGTCAGCGCCGCTGTATGTGGCTGAGCCAGGGAATTTGCCAAGTGTTGTGTGCGTGTGTGTGGGAATGTGTGTGTGCGTGTGTGTGTGAGGCGAGAGGGGTGCGGGAGTTTGTGTCCAAGACAGGAACAAGACGGATGGTTGCAACAGGTTTTGTGAGATTTGGTGATATATCTGTCGCTGCGGTAGTAAATTAGACGTCTGCCTTCACGATAGAGTGACAAGCTTATTGTTGGCTCATCCGACAGGTGTTAGACTTTGGCATTTGGCAGAGAGACACTGGCGAATATTTATTATTAAAAAAAGACAACATCAAAAATAAATAAATAAAGTGTCTATGATATTAGCGATTAATAAGGATTATCACCAGAGCACATCGGACAGATCCATAAGTTCTCTAATCTCCTCCTCAAAATCTCAATACGTGTAAAACAACTGATGAGGCCTGTTCTGTGTTGATCTTACGACACGGCTGGTAGAGTGCAGTGTTATTCTTCGTTGCTCCCTGTGAGAGCCCTGGTGACACACGGGCGCAGGAAAACATGTTTTATGGTTTACCAGACGTGGCTCTAAAATCTAGAATTTCGTGAACGCGTTTTAAACCAACTGCGATAGTTGCATTGTGGAAGAGGTTGGGCCCTCACTAGACAATATTTTCAAAAATGGTCGTGTATTTACATGCACATATCTATTTCGCAGTTGGTTCATCGAACAGACGTTTATCGGACATACTTTGGCAGTTGGCAAAGTAACATGGTTAGACGTTGGTTGAACACTTTGGCTTTTAGGGATGTAAAGTTCTTTTCAACTAGGAGCTCGAACCAGTCTACCGAAGCCCATCTCCTATGTCGTTCAGTTGCGTCTACAGCACCTTCGAAGCCCTTAGAGCAGCTTCGCTCAGTTGTTTTAGTGCCCGTTTACGCTCTTTTCCTCGCAAGCCCAGCTACTTTAGTACATTATATGTGAAGGTGGATATTAGCCATCTTACGCCTACCTCGACGGAGAAGAGTTTAACTGCGTGACTTTCATCGTTCCAAAGACTGGCCACCAGTTGCTTTTTTCTCAAGCTTATACTGGTGGTTCTCTTCCATTCGTGTCTCGTAAGGTATGATGAGCACTATCAGGATAAGCTAGCGTTCTGCCGCAGAGTGCAAAACCATGTCTGGTCTCAAGCTAGTCTTTCGGAATGGTTCCGGGTATTTCTCTAAACTAGACATATCAACCGCCAGTTGATAGTCCCTTTTAAACTCGAGTATGGATGGAGCATATGAGACTTTGTTAAAGTACTTTTAGATATCTTCCCAGCCTTGAAGAAGTGCGTGGGAGGGACATTATGACTGGCCTTCGCGTGCTCTGCAGCAGCGCGGCCATTGCTCTGTACCAAAGTCACTTCTTTTCTCCTTTTTCTTTCTGACTGTTTTTGTTTGGTTTGCTTTTATAAAATGAGATGGTCATTGGCTTCTATGAAGTTTGGGGTGCGACCGATGTCTTTCATTGTTCCTCTCAGCTTGGTCTACATTGAAATGCCAACATATTATGTAGTCACTAATAACAAGATCATATACTACAGGACTGTAAGACCCTGAATTCACTTCTAGTTGAGATCAGCCAGTATGGAAAACTCGAACTCTAGAAACGACTCTGAAGATAATTTTATTCGGAAAGAGATTGGTTAGTGCTTTAAAGAAAACTCTGACAGCAGCATGGCTAGCCCCCCTCCCCCCTTCCGAGATAGCCGATCTGCGGCTCTTAAGTTTGAATCTACATGTCAGCTGTGTTTTTAGTTTAAAATGACCTTGGATCGCACGTAGAGCAGCTTATAAACGCTTTCAGGCGTATTTGGTACATAGGGGTAGACATATATTTTGATAGATCCACATTGGTAGGTGATGTAGACGGCACCACGCCAGCTGCATTTGCTTCCCAGAACCTTACATAGTACCCATTTAAAGCTAGGTGGACGTGGGAGCCAAAGTCGTTACTGAAAATAGTCTGGCCCTGTCAGAACCCGAACCCAAGACCTTCCGATCCGCTGGTGAGCGTTTAGCCTCTACACCACGTCGGTTCCCGTTACATGGATAAGCCACTTTAACTAAATATGTGGCTTTGTTGTTATGTGCCCTACAGATTTGCAAGTCGCAGCAGAAAATTGTAGACAACTACTGTAAAGATAATTAGTTAAACTCTCTTGTCTATTTAACTATATGATAAAGTATATATACTTTAAGCATAATTTGATTTAAGGTGCTAAATGCGATCGAATCTGCCCAGAATGCACTAAAATTAAGGGAGGTCATGGGTTAAACTCAGTTCGACCGTCGGGGCCTAGGGCACGGGAAAGTCAGTTGGTGGTCTAAAGCCACAGCTAAAGAGGGCCGAGACATGGTGATACAGCAGATCAGGGACATCGAAAACGAGTTTAGGGTCCAGAAAGCAGCCCAACAGTCGCAGCAGGGTCAGTGGATCAGCTTAGAGAGCGCTTTGCCACGAGTACTCACATGGGGTGAGATCTGGCGAATGGCCCCGCTGCGACTGAGCTTTATCGTTCGATCTGCCTACGATGTATTAGCGACCGGTGTCAACATGGTAAAGTGAAGTGCGGCTAACGACCCGACATGCCTGCTATGCAGAGCTAAACAGACTCTAGAACACG